ACCCACTTACATCACACGCAAGACACACACACATCACACACACACACTAGCACACAGCTACCACACCACACACACATCCAAACCACACACGACCACAACATCACCACACGACACACACGTATCACTCACACCCACATCCAACTGCATCTTCATGTTCTACATATTATTTTTATTTTTATATTTATATTTTATTACATGAAGCCATACCAATCATACATAATAAATCTAATTATCATATATTATATATTTGAATGACTTTTAAGATGGAGTATACATCTCAAGTTTTAAAAGGCTTTCTTTTCATTTTATTTAATCGTTTAAATTTTTTTAGTTTTCTTCCTAAATTTCTTCGCCTTTAGATTTTTTAAATCGGAATTTACGTTTGGTTTTCATTTTTTAATTATTTTTGTTACATTAAGTTTCGCATTATGATCCGAACTCAGAATTCAACGATTTCTGCTTGATTTTTTTTCTTTTTTTATTTTTTTACAATAATCTTCCTTAGCACTTTCGTACCTCACTTTTATTCACATCGTCTGTGGACTCTGTTTTCTTTCCTCTTTCTTTCATCCTCCTCTTCCCTTCATTATCAAATCGCATTCTTCTCAGTCTTCCACCACTATTGACATCACCACTTTTCATGTCCTTTATTCCATTAACGTTGTTGCCACTACTTTTTTTGTTATGGGTCCTACTATGTATCTGTGCTTGTCTCTTTTTGCAATGATTTTGTTCACGCGGAGGTTTGACGAATTTTGTTTCTTCGTTTCAACTGTGACACTTAATCGTGTTGATTCCGTATTCCTTCTACTATTTTTCTTTTCTCTTTCGTTCAACCAATACACGTTTGTTCATTCCGTTTCGAACTTATATAGTTCATATTCACTAACACTAAACTGAACATAAACAACCGAACTTTGTCGGTATAAAGAATGTATTATACTAATTTTTTTGAACAACTACTTTCCTTGATTATTTCTCTTTCTTGTTCAATCTTTTTTTCACTAGACATTCGTTTGTTTGTTATATTTATAATTTTTACTCATCTCTATACTCTATATATTAGCTATCTGATCTTCGATAAACAAATAAGTTATTAAAAATATTATTCTTCCTGTTTTATTTTATCATCGCGTATATTACTATATATATTAGTATCTCCAACTTATACTAACTTTCTCCCACCTTTCTCTCTATATATACTGTCTCTCTTTCTCTTTCCCTCATTCTCTCTCTCTCTCTTCTCTCTCTCTCTCAATCCCTCTTCTTACTCTCTACCTATCATCTCTCCCTACTATATCTCTCATCTCTATTTTTTCTCTAACTATTTCTTCTATTTCTACTTATATTCCTTATTTTACTCTTTCATTGCTTTCTCACATCGCTTCTTTCGTGTTAGCTGTCTTTTCTCTGCTTTCTCATTTCTCTTCTCTTTTTACTCTTTCTGCTTTTCTCTTGTTGTTTCTCTTGTGTTGCTCTGTTCTCCTTTCTCTTTGTTCCTGGTCTTTGTCTCGTTTTTCTCCTCTTTCTCCCTTCTCTTTCTCTTTTCTCGTTCTCTCTCCTCTCTCATCCTTTCTCTCTCTCTCTAAACTCTAGTGCTGTCTCCTTGTGTGTATCTCTCCGTGTGGTCGTACCGTTCGTATGTCGTGTGTTGGTGTGTGCATATACCTTACATCTCTATCATTACTATATACCCTTATCTATTCCTATTCATTTACCTATCTCTCTCGGTTACCGTCTAGTATGATATTCTCTTATGCCTAATCTCTTACATTATATACTACTCTGGCTATATCATACATAATATTAATACTTACTTATATATATATATATCATATATATATATGTATATATATTATATTTATATATATATATATATAATATGTATATATATGTATATATACTATACATAATATATATATAATCTATATACTATCTTACTTCCTATAATATCTCTTACCCTCTATCTCTCTACTCTCTCTACCTCTATCTTCCATTATTCCTCCCTACCCTCCTATCTCTCCTATCTCTCCTCTACCCTCTATCCCTCTCCATTCTACTTATTACTTTACCTAGTTACTGTACTATATACCCTATCATCTATCTTACTATATATATATATACCTATATCTCTCTATATATATATCTATACCTTACATATTATCTTTATCAATTACTTATACTCTATATATGCTATACACCTTCATATCTATCATATACTCACTCTCTACTCACGCTAACACCCCACATTACTCATACTTCAACCTTCTCTTACACAAACCAAAACACCCACCTACACTTCTCTACACCTATTCACACCCACACACACCCCACACTCCAACACCTACCTATATCCATTTACACACACATACTATTACTACGTATATATAACCAATCCCTATATAATAATACACAAATATATATAACTAAACTATACGCTCACCACTACCCTCTCACACACTACCCACTACTCCATACACTATATATATCAATATGCTGCTGTTCCGCTCCTCGATGTGTGTGCACACTGCGTGTGTCGTGTATCGCCTTGTGATGTCCCTAGTCGCGAATGCTGCACCCCCCACACTCCCCAGCTAGCCGCGCATCGCTGTAAAGGCTAGCTGTCCGTGCCTTCACAATTTCTCTCGCTCGTCACGTGTCGTCCAGCTCGCTGCGTGTACCTGCCCGCCGTCGTGTCCCGGTACGTGTGTGGGTAGTTAGTATACCTTTTTCTGTATTAGCAACTACGAAAGGAGTATCATAATAAAGTGACGTATTATAAAGAAATTTGTTTATTACTATCAGGCAGCGACGCAGAGCGGCAAGTGTGACACCAGGATGGTGATGTTGTGAGAGGGAGGAGGGGGTTAGAGAGAGAGAGAGATGGCAGAAGGAAGAGAGAGAGGGGGGGCGGAGCGGGCGGGAGTCGGCGGATTCGAGAATTGCTGCCGAGAGAGAGGATGCAGGCCAAGGGTTTATGATTTTTGCCAGGAACGAGAAGAGAGATCTTGCGATTATTTTGTACAAATATTGGGTGATTTATTTTTTCTCTGCTTTTCTCTTTCCTGTTCTTTGTTTATCCTGTCACTTATCGCATATTGAATGACTCGTGTATGTATCGAGCTGATGAGAAAATAATAGATATATATATAGTTATAGAATATACGTATATATATAGATATATATGAGAGTATAATAACTATAATATTATAAGTATATATACCTTTTAGCTATTTTTTCACCTAATCTCATCTATTGGTTCGTGGATGTACGGTAATTCCATCTCTTTGGTTTACTGTAATCCGCTTGATCCATATAATTTTTCGAAGATAGAGAGAAGGAGAGCGATGAGATAGAAGAGAGAGAGAGAGAGAGAGAGAGAGAGGAGAGAGAGAGACGAGAGAGAGAGAGAGAGCTTAACAACATTTATTGTGAGAGGGTGAGAGAGCAGGTATCTATGATTCTTTTTTAAAACTGAGCCTCAGAGATTGAGCTACGTATGCGTGCAATGTCAGGCGCAAGACGAGAGGATGCGATACAGTAGATTGCATGTATGGACGGTAGATAATCTGTTATGGTGTTTTATTTTTTTTTTTTTTATTGTTGCTGTCTTTTGAATCACTTGTGTTGCTTTTGTTTTAATGTCGTTTGATAATTGGTAGTTGTATGTTTTAATTTGTTTGTTTTTAATTGTTGTTGATTGTTTTGTTTTTATCAGTTTTTTTTTTTTTTTTTTTTTTGTGGCTTCGTGTACCAAAATCTCAATATATAATCTATTTCATTACCCTCCCTCCCTCCCTCCCTTCTTTCGTAATAATAAAAAGTAAAAAAAATATGCGTTACGCAATCCACTCATGATATGATCTCTTTAAACTACAAAGGCAAAATGAAGATGAAAGAGACGAAAAAATTAAATAAAAAGGATCTATGCATCTAAGAAAAAAAGAATCTATTTCTTATTTCTTAAACTTCTATTTTATCATTTTTTCTTCCATTTTTCCTTTTTCTTCTTTTTTCCTTTTTTCTTCTATTGTTCGTTCTCTCTCTCTGTTCTTGTGTTTTTCATCTCTTTTTTCTTCCGCATTTTGTTCTGTTTTTTTTCCTATTCTTTTCCTATTACATTTCCCTTTTACCTTCTTCTTCTTCTTCTTCTCTTCTTCTTCATTTCTTCTTCTTTTCTTTCTTCTTCTTCTTCTTCCTTCTTCTTCTTCTTCTTTCTTCTTCTTCTTTCTTCTTCTTCTGACTTCTTCTTCTCCTACTCTGCTCTTGGACTTCAGTGCCTCTCTTTGACTACTTCTTCTTCTTGCTTGACATGATCTTGAGAGAGAGAGACGACTGAGAAGAGCTCAAAACGTATAAACATCCAATAACCCTATTCCCATCTCACCAATTCCTACATCTTCTTTTAAACACCCTACACATCTCACATCACTACCTACCACCTACTCCATCTCACCATCTATCTCTACACTACATCATCTACCCATCCCTACACCTACATCTCCCCACCACACTATCTCCAACCCTACACCATTCTCACACACATATCATAATACACTCCACAGTATAATGATACCTCTAACAATATATATTAAGGCTCATACTAATTACCTTATAGAATCAATACAATACTATACACGAGGATCAGAACGAAATGACAGAGTATCAGTGACCGAGCCACGCAACAGACAGCGCACAAAACAAACCTATTACTATTATATTGATTTTACCTGATCAACCTGATTCCTTTAATCTTTGAAATTAACTTTAGGAACATTTAAAATAACTTTGAAGCTTTAAAACCCACACAAAAAGACAGAGCGAAAATAAAGCAAACAATTAAATGACAATTAAATACACCGTCAGTCGTAAACCTTAAAAATCATCGGTTTTATAAACTATACAATTGATCAATTTCCGTGATTTATTTTATACATTCTCTCATGCCGAAGCGTTGTATTAATACATCTTGCTCTCTCTTTATTTTTAGCTATGTTCTTACCATCATGTAAATGCGCTGATGAAAATTTCTTAAAACTTTTCATGAAAATACTTATTGTATTGTTTAAGAATCTGAAAAAAATAATCATTATCGTTGTCTGCCTCTTCCTTTTCTTAATCCACATCCTTATTATATATAAATCTCCTTATCTACACATTTTCATTTTTTCATATGTTTGTGTTTATTATCATTTGTTTATCATTATTATTATTATCATTATTATCAATATCATCATTATCATTATTATCATTATCCCTATCATTATTATCATTATCATTATTTTTGCTTTTATTATCATTATCATCATCATTATTATCATTAATATCATCGTTATCATCTTTTTATTATTGCATTTTTTAAGCCAGAGATCCGGAAATGAGGAGGGAAATAACCGTAACTTGCAGAGGGAAATGCTAGGTAATGATCCAGCTTTCGGAACTTTAGAATTGCATTAATTATCGTAAAGATGTGGTTAGTGTTGTGAAATCTTGATATTAATGGTTATGATAATTTTATAACGTTCATGGAATACTGATATTTGGATATAAGTAGTAAAAGATCGGCGAACACGAGATTTATGGTAATGGTTGAGACAGTTCAGTAGATTTATATCACGCACACACACACACACACACACACACACACACACACACACACACACACACACACACACACACACACACACACACGCACACACACATTTGGACTCCAGTTGATTTTATCCCAACCAACAAGTACTTTCGCTAGTAGTTAGAAGTTACCAGATCTACCAAAACCTTCGTAAAAGTAGTGAATAAAGTATTTCCTCAACTTGCCAACTTAAACGTCAGTGGACCATATTTCTCTAGCTCACTTTTGAGGGAAGGAAAGAAAAAAAAAAAAAAAAAGAGAGAAAAAAAGGGAATATAAAAAGGAAGAAAATATCCGTATAACTTTAGTAACAACGAAAAGTTTTATGTTCTAAATGACGAACAGGGATACACATCGAGCCATAATAAAATAGTTATAGCCGCGACCTGAACCATCGTTTTCTTTAGTTCTTACAGCCATTCAAAATAATTGCCAAAGTCCTCATATACTCACCGACTATAGTAGCGAAGATGAAGACTCCTATCAGGTAGCTAACTATGGTAAAAATATATCTGTAAAGAAAAAAAGGTGATATGTTATGAAAAGACCTTCATGTGTTATGGCAGAAAACAAAACAATAAAAAACAAAAACAAAGAATAAAAAAGTTATGAGTTCAATTACAAGAAGGAATCCGGAACGCCGCTTTGAAAAAAAAGAAAGAGAAAAAAAAGATATAAACTTGTTTGAATACATCTTACGGCAGCTTGAATGCCAAAACAAATTAAAACGACAGTCCATCGTTTCTTACAAAAAATATGAAGTCCATTAATTGTATTTAAATTAAACATTCGTGAAAAATATATGAAGAACCTTGTAGGGGTTAGGGGGGGGGTAATGGGGCCCCGCATATAAACCCGTAGTTTTCGAACTTGGCTTTTTAAGGTATAATATATTTCTAAAAAAATATAGATATATACAAATACAAATACAAAATACATCACTAGCACAAAGCTTCTTATTTATCATTATTCTCCATTATATGACGTGAAAGAGACGGGTCTGCCCTTTGCATTTCTCCGCAAGAAAAAAAAGAAAAAAAGAAAGATCGTTCGAAAACTGCGGGTGAATATGAAACTCCGGCTTCATCCCCGAGTAAACGCTTTTGACTGCGGGGTTAAAACATTTTTTTTCTTTTAACTTTCTCCCGTCTATACGCTTTCAACTTAAAAAAAGATGAAGAAAAAAATATCTTCGCGGATATACAGTATGTATTTATTTATTGTAGAGCCCGGCCCAAATATTATTATTATTATTATCATTATTATATTTTTTATTATGGAACAGAAGTTGAGATAAACTGAGAAATGCCTTTCGTTAAGGAAGTTTATAGGTCTCATGAGAAAACCAAATGAGGTAAGCAAAAACTGATATTATGCAGGAAATACATATATCTAAATCGAATATAGGGACAGCCCGCTCTTCAGATACATGTTGGACTTGAGTTGGATAACAGATTGACTGAAGCAATGTAACAAGCCATGGATACGAGTGATCGGATGTGAGTTTTACTACAAAGTCCGCCGGTTAAAAGCCAGAAGTGAGTGAGCAACGACTGGATAGACCACGGATAGACCATAGGTGGAGAACGAGAGAAATTACCCCCAGGAGGAGCGACAGAATCATGTAGGAACCATGAGTTAAAGGTCGAGAAAAAAGCTCTTGGGATTTCTTCTTAAAGCAGGAGAGAGAATTATGCCACAGTATGCTATGTTTTATATATATATGTATATATATATATATATATATATATATATATATATATATATATATATATATATATATATATAATTTTATTTCTTTTTCTGTCGCTGTTGTATTTATATGGAATTAGTTGAAATCGTGAAGATGGGGTTGTGAAGTGCATTTT